GAGAGAGAGAGAGAGAGAGAGAGAGAGAGAGAGAAACATCTATCGGTTGCCTCTCTCGCCCTGACCAGGAATCGAACCCATGGTATGTGTCCTGAGTGGAAACCTAACCACAACCTTTTGGTATATGGGATGACACTTCAATCAACTGAGCCACCTGGCCAGGGCAGGATGGGGAAGGTTTTTATAAGTATAAAAGCAATGAAAAAAATCATTAAGGAAAAGATTAATAGACTTCAGTATATTTAAAAAGAAAAAACCCACAATTTTTATAAAAATAACCCCAAGCAAAATTAAGGTAACCAGATTGGTGAAAAATATTTTTTATGAACATGACAGATAAATTATTAATATTCTTAGTATATAGTTAATGCAGGTTGATAAAAAAAATGATTTTCCCAATAAAAATGGACAGCAGTCTTGGAGTATGAAAAATAACTCATAAATGTGAAAAAATTCATCTTTTAAAAATTAAAACTTATAACAGTGAAAAATCATTTCACTGTGAAAGATATTTTAAAAATATTTAATGCATCGGTATTGAACACTGTTCTTCACTCTGCCCAGTTTCTCAAACCAGAGGGTGGCATGGTTGTTCTGGAAATCAATTCGTCAGTAAATGTCATGAGCCTTAATGACAACATTTATGTCTGTTGACATAGTAATTCCACTTCAAGGAATCTCCTTTAAAGTATTGGTCAGAAATGTGGGTAAAAATTTATGAATCAAAATGCTATCCCTGCATTATTTATACTTGTAAAAATAAAACAAACAACAGATATCCATAGTTGGAGAATTCTTAAATAAAATATAAGTTTATCATGTGTTTATAATGCCATCTCCATGATGGACCATTATTCAGCTTTTAAAATGATACTTATAAAGGCTTCTTTAAAGGTGAGAGAAAGTACCTTTGCCATATGAGAAGAATATGTGGTAAGGCTTTGTGAATTAACAAATTCAGGTCTACTTCTCTCGCACATTCCTGGGTCGCTAGCAGATAATCTGGAAGACAAGTATAGGAAAGAGAAAGGGAAATAGCTTCATTAGATCTGCAGGAATAAAGTAATTTATAAAAGCTGAAAATAAATTTCATCACCAAAATAAAATATATGCGCCATTAACTTGTAATGACCAAAAACCTAAGCTATGATGAAAAAAATAAAATTTCAGCTGTTATATACATGAGTTAACAAAGCACAAGCAAATGCTGGATTGAAGCAAAGATTCACTTTTATGCTACAGCCTCACTGTACGTTAAAACCATAGTAAAATGACACATTGATGCATTTCATGAATTTCTGGGTTCCTTGAGAAGGGGAGAATCCATGTGAAATTGATAAAGACCACCATTTACAATTTAAATGCTACAAAGCCAGATATAGAACTATATATACAACATATCAATTATGTCAGGTGAAAGCACATACATATATACATATGTATTGGTTAAATAAAGACTGGAAGGAAATGTATACTCATAGTTGTTACCTCTGGGTTGTGTGATTGAGGTTGATTTGGTTATCTTCTGTATACTGTTCTCCAAATTATTTTTAGTGATCATATTTATCTTTTACATATCTTAATAATAAAGAGCTAATATGCTAATTAGGCCAAACAGCCAGATGACCTTCCGGACATCCTTCTGGACAACCTTTCGGACGAAGCAGGGGCTGTGAGGGCCGGCCGGGGCTGCGAGGGCTGGCCGAGGCAGTCAGGGCTGCAAGGGCTGGCCGAGGTAGCCGGGGCAGCGAGGGCCAACCAGGGTGGCGAGGGCTGGCCGGGGCTGTGAGGGGCTGTGAGGGATGGCTGGGGCTACGAGGGATGGCCTGGGCCGTGAGGGCCGGCCGAGGCAGCCAGGGCTGCAAGGGCCGAGCCCCTTGCAAGAATTTTGTGCATCGGGCCTCTAGTAATCAGGTAATAACCAGTCATTTTTAAAAATTGCACTCATATAATACCCTTGCTTTTCTGATTCTTAATAAAATAGAGCTACTATATGACCTAGCAATTCCATTTCTGGGTATTTACCAGTATCTTCAGAAAATGAAAACACTAATTTGAAAAGATATATGCACCCACCCATGGTCATTGCAGCATTGTTTACAATAGCCAAGATATGGAAGCAACCTAGGTTTCCATTGACAGATGAATAAAGAAGAGGTGCCCGTGTGCGCACACACACACACAATATGGAATATTACCCAGCCATAAAAAAAAAAAATGAAATCTTGCTATTTGCAACAACATGGATGGACCTAGAGAGTATTATGCCAAGTGAAATAAGTCAGAGAAAGACAAATACCATACGATTTCACTTATATACAGGATCTAAAAAACAAAACGAACAAACAAAATGAAACAGAAACTCTTAGATACAAATAACAAACTGATGGTTGCCAGAGGAGAGAGGGTTTGGGGGAATGGGTGAAAAGGGGAAGATTAAGAAGTACAAACTTGCAATGATAAGTCATGGGAATGTAATGTACAGCTAGGGAATAGTTATTAATATTGCAATAACTATGTATTCACTGATGACCTTTGACATATGGATCAGAAGGTAGGGCATGCCATGCATTGAACTATTTTAAATCTTTTCTTTCAGGAGATAGACAGGAGAATGACAAGGAAAACCTAAACTTGGAAAATCACAGGGACCAGGAGCCTCCAGATGCCCCCTGTCGCGCCTCAGAGGAGGCGCCTGCTCAGGCTTCCCTGAGTGGCCTCTTCACTGAAGAGGAGCCGAGTCGCTTTGGAGAAGAGAATCTCCCTGAGGCTCAGCAAAGCCTTCCAAGCGAGGGAGTAGGGGAGCAGCTCTCTCCTCAAGAAAGGAAATCTGGGAAGCAGCGAGGCCGTCAAGTGCCTAAGCCTCATCCAGGGGAACTGTCCGTGCTGTGTCTTGAGGGGAAGAGAGAGGCCTCGCCTAAAGGGCAGCTGAGAGCCCCCATGGCCCAGAAACTGCCCACCTGCAGGGAGTGTGGGAAAACCTTCTACAGGAACTCTCAGCTTGTTTTTCACCAAAGAATTCACACAAGAGAGAAATACTTCCAGTGCCTCATCTGCAGAAAAGCCTTCAGGCGGAGTTCAGACTTCATGAAACATCAGCGAATTCACACGGGAGAGAAGCCCTGTAAATGTGACTACTGTGGGAAAGGCTTCAGTGACTTCTCCAGATTGCGCCACCACGAGAAAATTCACACAGGAGAGAAACCCTACAAGTGTCCCATCTGCGAGAAGAGCTTTATTCAAAGATCAAACTTTAATAGGCATCAGAGGGTTCACACAGGAGAGAAACCTTACAAATGTTCCTGCTGCGGGAAAAGTTTCAGCTGGAGTTCCAGCCTTGATAAACATCAAAGGACCCACTTAGGAAAGAAGCCCTTTCAGTAGCCACGCGCGCTTAGCCCGTTTCTGTGTCCTGGCCCATTTGAAACACGTAGCTCCCCAGGAGGAATTAGGTCTCTTAGCAGATATCCCTGCTCTCTCTTATGCCTGGATGAGGGAAGAGAGTATCTGGCCATGGGTTTGGACTTGGAGAATGTGACGGCCTGTGGATTGGATCTCATGCTGGTTTAATTTGTTGCTTCTGCGTCAGGAGACAGAATAGTCTTTGTCTTTTATTGCATCTGTTTTTGGGAAGAGATGGGAACAACCTCTCACTTGGAGGTCCCATATTAGAAGTGCTACCTGGGAGGAGGTTAACTGGATTAGCCGCAGTTGCTGTCATGGGAAGCACCTGGGATCGGCCCTTTAGAGCTGGGGTCCTGGAGCAGGCCATCTGTTACAGAAAGGGGGCATAGAGGACCAGGAGCTCAGTGTGTTCTTTGTCATATTGGTGCAAAATTAATGTCCTGTCCCTCTTTAAAAATAAACTTAGTAGAATCACTCCTATCTTCTTTGTGTCTGAAGTTTCCACTGTGCGTTGGCTGTAACTCAAAATGCATTTTCTCATAGAAGACCCTCAATGGTAGATCATCCCACACAAATGCATCAAGTTTATCAAGTAGCTAGATGTTGGTAGGAAAGTGCTAGCCTGGTGCTTGGGTGTGAGAGTTTGGCCTGTGCTGGGCACTCCTGGTCTCAGGTAAGTCTGTCCTGGTGTCCTCTTTCTGAGCCCACCTCCCACTTGCTTGCATACCTCAAGCTGCCACCCTTTCTCCTGGCGTCTGCTTAGGCCAGTGGTCGGCAAACCGCGGCTTGCAAGCCACATGTGACTCTTTGGTCCCTTGTGTGTGGCTCTTCCACAAAATACCACGTGCGGTATTTTAAATATGAGGGAAGCTTTTCTCAACAGGTTTCAGGAATTCAGAAACAGCAAAGCGACGTTAGCCTTTGTTAAAAAACCTCAATGCTACTGTAACAATTAAACTTTCCTCCCTTTAATATTGACGTTGGCAACTTTGAAATGCAATTGCTGGATTTAAAAAACAAAGAACTGTGGAACTCGAAATTTGAAAG